AGCATCACAAACCGGACCTCATCAGTAAAACAGTTGCAGTGTTGATAAAATAAATACAACTTTTATAGCAAGTATGTTATAATTTCAAAAGGTAAGAGGGGGATAAATTCAAAAAATAATAAGAAAGTGAAAGGAGCACGCGCTGACCGAACAACACATAAGAAATCTGCGAATTATTTTACGGTCTAGTCATCAAGGATAAGAAAATTTATTCCTTCATCAATAAAAATGTTTCCGCCAAAACTTCTAACAAAAGGCGACAGCTCAAGCCACAGAAAACATGTCTTTTGACTTCCTTATAAAAAATCCTGGAGAGAATTGGAACACTTTTAAAAAACAAATTTTTCCGTACCTGGACGCCTGTCCGAGCTGCCGAATAATCGCTCTGCCAGCTGATTCCATTCCCATCGTGTCGTCTTCGTTTGCTGTTGCCGTTGTCATTTTTCCACTTACACCTGTTTTCAAAGCCAATATTAAAAAATTAACGGTCAAAAACAGGAATTAGTATAAAAGGAATCATTCAGAAGCGCTCACCAGTGATATTGAAGAGGAAATCGCCAATCAGCGTAACGGCCGCATGGCGGATTCGCCAGTTGTCATCAAACAGAGCAGCTTGTAGTTGTGGCAACAGTAGTCGTCGAGCATGCGAGCAATAGGTGACGATTAGACGTTGACCTGCTTTCAGGGCACTATCACGAACATATTCGTTCTCATCAGCCAAAGCTTTCAGAATACTTGGGATTACCTGCAGTTGTCTAACATCATTTTCAGAAAAGAAAGGCGAGTCACGTGGAATTCCTATGCGAAGCCGACAAGATCAAAGAGTATATTATACTGCAGTAGCGGCGGCTCCTAACACAGAAGTCAACGGAGTACCGGTCAAGCACAGTGATGCACAAAATACAAAATGAAGTCCTGGTTAGACTTCGTCTATGTTCAACCCTGTTTTTAGTCGATGGTGTCGACGGAGTCGAGGAATCTGCTCTTTGATGATTATGTGTCGTGATAGCAACATCCTCAGGCTACTTGTGATGGGGATTATCGTCGCCGTTATCTAGGAAGCTTTTTGTTTTTTATATTTGTAGTTTTCCCATGTTTAATGTTTGGTGTTTGCTGGGGTTGTAAGAGCGATAGAAGTGAGCTTTCCCCTATTGCCCGTTTTCTAATTCCCTTTACGAAATAGGAGGAAAGAAGCCAATCGTCACCCCAGGACCCTGCTCGCCACGCCAAAGGAGCCCTATAGCTTGTACTGCACTACTGGTAGTCCGTCCTATGCTACTTAAACAGCGGTAGTCCGCC